GGCTCTACACACCATTTATGGATCATCATATGTAAAATCACAGACTAATCTTAATCAAACTACCATTAGAAACCTGGAAGCACCAGATGGCCGTTTAGCCGTATTATGGACCTTCTCAGCAGTGCAGACTCATGACCTGTGCAAGTAAGAATCGAGGTCAGAGCCTTTGGTCTCACGCTGAAAGGCTCAATCTCTTGACCGTTGAGACGATATCTACTGCTGGTAATGACTAACATCAATCAATTCACGATATTGATTAGCATTCGTTTGTTACCAGCGCAGATAATTGTCTCTCACATGTCAGTCAACAACAACAGGCAACTTCGTACTTGTGTACATCAGTTGAGGTTGCTATACCACATTAACGCAGAGACGCAACTGCCACTTCGAATCCCACAGTGGTAGATGTAGCAGAAGTATTGGTGGTAATGAAGAAGATTATGGTTCAAAGATATTCAAAACAGCATCGCTGCAGATGCTAGTTGTCCGAGGGAAACGTTACCTCGAGTTGCTGCTTTTAATCCTAACAAACACCAATTGACCTGCCTGGAGTGGTAGGAACATATGTCCCAGCCAATATAACTCAACTCGGTCATCAAGATAGGCACGCTCTACCACTACGCCAAGTCAAGGTAGCAGCTACGTTCGGGTTTAAATTACTAGAATATCATTTGAGTGCTTTGTGTTTCGGTCAGAAAAATATTTAAATGTAATCTTGGAGAAATAGTTTGCCATGCAGAGTCAAGAAAAGAAAAAACAAGAGGACAGCAATCAACGGCTTCGAAACGCGCTGATGCGGCCTCACGTGAAGAAGAGTCCACTTTCTCGAAATCTCATATAGCTACAAGTATATAACCACTATCAGCGAAGGCCCACTCATTACCTTCTCGTGATGAGGATGTTGTCGACGAAATTCAGAGGACTAAAAACAAATGTCCATAGTTCAGATTGGGTTGGTGGGTACGGATCGATCATCTAGGGAAGTTGGAGAACTCTAACTTCAAACCAATGGTGTTCATGGGTTACAGTGTCTGGAGGCAACAAATGGAGTATGAATCTATGGTTGATTAATGGTTATCATGGGACCGCATCTCTTAATGTCACTCCACTGCCTCGTGGATTAGATATGTAGGCTCGGTGAATATCTTACTTAGCCACCTGTTTCCGTTCGGGTACTCATAGTCAACACTTACATTTAATATGTGGTGCATGTATATATTTCGGTACCACTTAGTACCAATGATTATGTTTAAATAAATAAGTAGTTAACCACAATTGAATAGAAACACAGAAATTCAAGTCACACGTTGAATATATTGAAGCAAATAAAATGGTAAAGACAAGAGTTAGATCGGATAAGCGGAAATCTATAGAAGACCTGGTAACTACAGCAGAACAAGATGAAAAAGAATAAAACATGAATAATCTATATGATACACCAGTGTTAATGAAACCGCCGAACATAGAAGTAAGGCACACACAACTTTCCCATTGATAATACCCTGCTAACAATCGGAAAGATTTGCAAGGTCATCATCATACAAATCAGGATTGGTAAAGCACCAGAACCAGTCAGCATACCAGCTGACGAACTAAAGTCATATATGTAGGCGACTCTATAGATATTTCATGTTCTGTTCAGAAAGATTTATAACAAGGGTATTTCATCAAAATACCGAAGAAAGTACAGCTTAATATAAGGAATACAGTACTGTCAGTAGCAGTAAACGTTTTGACAATGTTGCTGAACCAAATAGAAGATCCAGTAGAACTCAAACTTGAAGACCAAGCTAGCTTCGTTAAGGATCGATCATATGCTAACAAAATTGCTAGAATGTTTAAACAATTAGTTGGATAGAGTTGACTTTTATCTATCAACATCCTTGACAGAAACAACTAGTAGAATATCGTTCGAGTACCTGAAAATTGGTTCACATCTTTTTGCTAGGGATCTTCAGGAATAAGCTACTTTAACAGAAAACTCAGATGAGAAAAGACTTGGGGTATATAGAGCATACTTAATGGGAACTATCAAACTGTACATACAATGCAGAAAGGAAAGATGTACACAAAGGAACACGTGGTGCCGGGAGTAAGGAGATATCAAGACAATAAATATCGTTTGGCAACAACTAGAAAGGAGAGTTCAGGACTGAGTCAATTAGATACCTCTGGTTTGGAACTTTGGCCACCTAAGGGTAATAGTGTAGTGAACGAGAACACAGGTGGGGCAACCGAATTGTATTTAACGAAAATTACAGAGTTACTCAGTAAAATAGGAAGACCATATCGTAAATCGTTCATTTGCAAATTATCAGTCCATTCTATCGAACTGGACTGTTCCTGTTGCAAAACATCAATCCATTATCATTATTCATGCGTTTCATTCAAACTCCATTGTGTTCTAACCGTTCCTTTCTTGATCTTCCCCATCTTCCGCTGCCAGACATTACGTTGACACTCATGTCATATACTACTTATAAGTAGCTCACACCACAACAGTAGTCATTTATAAAAATATTGATTCTATACTTCTTCATATGAACTTATTTTATAAAGAATTTATGTTATTATTAAATCATTTATAAAAATAATTCGTGCAGTTCATCAAGAACTGATTAATTTTCTAGTAGTTCTAATCATACAGTACGTTGCTTAACCCAATCGAATTCGCGTTTTCGAAAATTAAATCCATTGTAAGAAGATCTCTGGCGAGCGGATCCAACGAATCTTTTACAAATCTAATACTAAATTCTGTAAATCAATTAACCAGGGATGATTTACAACGTTATTCAAGACACGTACGTCGCAACTGTTTAAAAGCGATTGCTAAAGAAGATTTTAATTAAAAGTAGTTCTTATTTTATTTTTTCAAAAAAATTTTAAAAAACGCTGTGAAAATTTTAAAAAACGAGTTGAAATACTATATATATATATATATATATATATATATATAACTCCGCCAGTAGAACCTCAGGGGCCACTGCCGGTCCCAAGCCCGGATAAAGGAGGAGGGTTGGACATGGGGTTGGCGACCCCATTCCGTTGAAATCTCACTTGCCAAAAAAACGCTAACGGGAAAAAATAATTCAAACCATTTTAACTCTGCCCTGGGAGTTGCAAGAAGAATTATGACGTCGCGTGATGAAAGCCGAGTTCCCTCGGAAGTCACGGGGCCGACGCCTCTTCTGACAAACAGAGCAACCATTTTTTTAGGTACATGGAAGGTTCGTACATTGTGGGAGACTGGAAGACTATTTCAAGTTGCGGCAGAAATGAAAACATACAACCTCGAGGTGCTTGGAATCAGTGAAACACATTGGACACAAGTAGGACAACTGAGACTAGCTTCAGGGGAACTGCCATTATACTCTGGTCATGAAGAGGAGAATGCTTCACATACACAAGGAGTTGCACTGATGCTGTCCAAACATGCATAAAAGGCACTAATAGGATGGGAATCTCATGCACCCAGGGTCAATAAAGCATCCTTCAAAACAAAGAAACAGGACATAACAATGAACGTCATCCAATGTTATGCACCTACCAATGACTACAATGACGACGTTAAAGATCAATTCTACGAAAGGCTGCAGTCAATCGTCGAGAAATGTTCACCAAAGGATTTGACGATTCTTATGGGAGACCTGAATGCCAAGGTTGGAATGGACAACACTGGATATGAAGACATCATGGGACGACATGGACTGGGAGAAAGGAACGAAAACGGTGAGAGATTTGCAAACCTATGTGCCTTCAACAAACTGGTCATCGGTAGCACAATATTCCCGCACAAACGCATACACAAAGCCACATGGATTTCACCGGAGAAAACTGGTGAGCGGCCTATGCTCCATTGGGGGTAACAGGCGTAAGTAAGTAATATATATATATATATATATATATATATATATATATACCGACTAACACTAAGATCAACCCTTACTTTTCATTTTTACGAAAATTTTAATAATAGGATCACGTGAAGTTCAGCAATGCTTGGTATCATGTTTACTCAGCCGATTATTTTTACTGTCTATTTTTAAAAAAAGTAGGGAATTCGTTCTCAGCAGAAATTGTTTGGTATATCCTTAACTATCCCAATCTATAAGAAAGGATACAAGTCTTCTTGTGACAATCACAGGGGAATAAGTCTAACTAAAATAGTTTCTAAATTGTTAGCCTCGATTACACTTAGACGTTTAACTAGAGCCCGTGAAGAGCAAACTCGAGAAAACCAGTCTGGTTTTCGACCTGGACGTGGTTGTATAGACCACATCTTCACACTAAGACAGGTCCTGGAACACAGACACACATTTAGGCGTCCTACAATAGTTGTTTTCCTGGACCTAAAAGCGGCATTTGACTCTGTAGATCGTGAGGTTCTGTGGCAGTGTCTGTCATTGAAAGGTGTACCAAAGAAGTACATTAACCTTATACAAGCTCTCTACTCGAACACCACTAGTCAAGTGAGTGCTTATGGCATACTGTCAGCGGAATTCTTTACTTCAAATGGTGTCCGTCAGGGATGTCCACTTTCTCCATTCTTGTTTAATTTTATCATAGACATGCTCCTAGATATAACCTTATCTTCGTCTGAATTTTCAGGAGTAGACAGACCTTATACCAGGAGGCTCGCTTTTTTGGACTTAGAATATGCCGATGACATAGTCCTACTTGGTGAAAACGCTGACAAAATCTAGAGTCTTCTGACCACCCTAAACAACAATGCAAGCATGTTCGGGATGCGGTTCCCCCCCCCCACCTAAAAATGTTGCTTCAATATTGGGTTGCATCAGCACCTGAACTAGTATGATAGGCAATGAAGTAGTCAAGCTGAACCGATGTAACTTACATGAGAAGTTCTACGTTGCATCACATCTGACTGATAAACATACAGTAAGTAGTGTAGTTATCAGATTTGCATAATGTATTAGAACATTTTACCCATAATTCCAAAATTCCTTATATATATATAAATCATTATTCATGTCACAGAAAAAAAAGAAAACCTCACACTTTATTTTTTAATATTTTACATTACACTTTTTTTTCATAGAACAAAAAAAACAAAACAGGACACATAAGAAATACTGTTGTTGTTTTTGGTGTTGTCTTTCTTGTCTTGTAATGCTGCAACTTGAGAATAAGTGAAGCGTAGGGCAGCGATTTTTGAGCAGCCATGTCTCAATTTTTGGTTATTTACTAATTTGGAACTGTTGGTGGTGGTAGAAATGCTTGAAATGATGGTGGTGGCGGCGGCGGGGGTGGAGGTGCAGAGAAATTAGCTGAAGATGGTGGTGGTGGCGGTGGTGGAGGAGGTGGTGGGAACGAAGTTGGACCAGCAGCACTAGCACCAGCACCAGCAGAAGCAACAGGAATTGGTAGAACAGATGGTGGTGGAGGTGGAGGAGGAGGCGGTGGCATGCTACCACCACCACCACCACCACCATGCACTAGAGACTGTCCAAATCCTACTAAAGTTGTTTGTATAGGTGGTGGTGGAGGCGGTGGCATGACTAAAGTTGCACCAGGTATTGTAAGAGATGTCATTGTTGGAATTGAATGAGTCATATTTCCTGCAAGTAAAGCAGGTGGAGGTGGTGGTGGAGGAGGAGGTGGTGGAGCATCGGCAAACAATTGATGTGGACGTTCAGCCTGTAATAAATGAAAAATTTCGACAATATATACATTCAGTCAGATGCAACATAGAACTTTGTACGTTAAGTACATCAGTTCATGTTGCCATAAAACTAAATTAGCACAGAGATATAATTGTCAATTCAAATCCAATAGAGTAGAAGAGGTAGTACGGGTATTAGAAGTAATCGGAGAGATTAGGATTAGAAGATATTATTCAAGAAATATGATTCAATGTGAGAAAAGTTTAGAAAGTCAAAACTAGAGATGTTGAAGAATCCAGAAGATTAGGATTTGAGAGAACACACAAAGAATAAATGCACTGGGGCCATTGCAAACGGTTTTGAACGATGATGTCATTCAAGGTCTCTAACCATCATCGATTATTATCATCTCGCGGATCCCAACCAGGTAGTCGACAATTACCGACATGGCTCAGTTCACTTGTCAATGACTTCATGGATTTCTATCATGTTTAAATATACATTAGTACGGAATTTTTCGATAATTTACTAAAAAAAAGCGTTTGGTTTATTAGTTAGTCTCTAATGCACTCACTCAGAGTTTCAACTAAGTTACAGATTAATAAAAACTTTTCTTCCAATTAATTTAGTTTATGGTAACTGGGTAGTTAGTATCCGATTATGTTTAACACATATATAATTAGTGAATGAATGAATCAACTTGTAACTAACTTCAAGACAATTTCTTTACTAATTCATTTCTAATGAATCAGTGGGTTTATGAATTATCTATCTGTAAGTATTCAACAATATAAAACTCATTTATTCATATGAACAATGTTTATGTAATAATAACATAATTTCTACGACAGGTAACGATTATAAAATGTAATTGGCAAATTGGGGGAAAAAATATAACAAGTTATTGTACTGTGAAAAGCTCTATATTGTTTTCATGTGTCTACAAATTTAATCTATGTGTTTTATGTTAACTTCTGAGGTTATTCCAATCACTTAGTATTATTTAAGCAACAATGCGAGCATGTTTGGGATGCGGTTTTCCCCCTCGAAATGCAAAATGTTGCTTCAAGACTGGATTGCATTGGCACCTGAACTAGTGATAGGGAGTGTGAAGTAGTCGAGCGTGTTGATCACTTCACTTATATGGGGAGTCTCATCAGTGCTGATGGCCTGGTGACTGACGAAATCTCAGCTCAGATACAGAAGGCTCGATTGGCTTTTGCCAACCTGCGTCACTTATGGCGTAGGCGTGATATCCGTTCGCTAACCAAAGGGCGGGTGTACTGCGCAGCAGTTCGTTCCGTTCTCTTATATGGCTGTGAAACATGGCCGTTAAGAGTAGAAGATGTTCGTAGGTTACTAGTATTCGATCATAGATGTTTAAGAAGCATTGCTCGTATATCGTGGGACAGCCGAGTAAGCAATGCTGTCGTTAGGAAACGAGTACTAGGTAAGGATGGCAGATCGATAGATGAAGTATTGAAACTTCATCAGTTGAGGTGGTTGGGACATGTGTTACGTATGCCTAACCACCGACTGCCCCGATGAGCTATGTTTTGTTGTGTAGGAGTAGCTTGGAAGAAAGGTAGGGGCGGCCAGACCAAAACATGGCACAAATCCATGAAGTCACTGACAAGTGGACTGAGTCATGTTGGTAGATGTAGACTACCTGGTTGGGGTCCGCGAGACGAAAGTCATCAATGGTTAGAGACCTTGAATGACATGGCTCAAAATCGTTTGCAATGGCGCAAGTGCATCCACTCTTTGAGCTCTCTCAAATCCTAATACTCTGGATTCGTCAGCACCTCTAACTTTGTCTTTCTAACCTTATCTCACTGAATTATATTTCTCGAATAATTTCTTCGAACCCTAGTCTTCTTTATTAACATTAATACCTCTACTATCTTTATCACTATGGGATTTGATTTGACATTTGCGTCTCTGTGCTGTGGTATGGCAACATGAACTTATGTACATACGTATGAAGTTCTACGTTGTAACTGACAGGCTGACTTAGTATTATTTACTAAATTATGTCTGCCAGCAGCAACAATTGAGTAAAGGTCGCCGACCAGCATTCTCCAACCTACTCTCTGTCCTGAGCCTTCTTTTCCAGTTCTATCCAATTGGTATTCATTCTTCTCATGTCTGTCTTTAATACTCAGGGTAATGTGCTCTCTGATCACCTACTGGATAGAACTGGAAAAGAAGGCTCAGGACAGAGAGTAGGTTGGAGAATGCTGGTCGGCGATCTCTGCTCAAACGCTGCTGACAGACGCAATTATGTAAGACTAAGTGATTGGATCGTAACCGATGGTTAGAGACTTTGAATGACATTGCTCAAAATCGTTTCCAATGGTGCATATGTATCATTTATTCATTGTCTTCTTTTGAAATTCTACTCTTCTGAATTCCACATCTTTTTACATTTATTTCACTGGACTATAATTCTTGGATAATAGCTTCAAACTATAATCTTTTCGATTACTGTTAATATTTCTACTATCTCTACTATTATCGGATTTAAATTGACAATTCCATCTATCTGTGCTAACGTGGTATGGTAACTGGAACTGATGTACCTACGTATCAAGTTCTACGTCGTAGCTGACTGACTGACTTTTCAAAGCATAAACAAGAAGCAATAAACTGGTATCAGGAAACAATACACGAATCAATGAGAATGTGGAAGTTAGAGTTAATAACATAGGGTCAAGTCTACTTAACTGCTTTATTCAATGAATTTAACCATATTATTTATAGAAGGTACAAATCTATCCAATGACATTAAAATGAATGGACTAAAGTAATAAATATCATGTCAAAATATCGATGAGAATACCATAATCATCTAAAATATGATCAATCAGTCAGTAAGTCAGTCAAACGTAACGGAGAATCTCAGAAAGAAAGATACTTACGTCCTTGTAAGTTAATAAACGCTAGAACTGACTATCTACATTTGGCTCTAATAATTAGTTACATAATCAAAACAACTTTCACAGTCACTACTAAATGTCACCAGCACCCAAGTTACTGAATGTTAATTACAAACTAGTAAAATCGCAGTCAGTCAGTCAGATGCAACGTAGAACTTCGTACGTACGTAAGTACATCAGTTCATGCCATACCACCAAATTAGCACAGAGAGATATAATTGTCAATTCAAATCCAATAGTAGTAGTAGAGGTTAGTAAGGGAATTAAAAGTAATCGGGGAGGTTAGGATTAGAAGATACTATTCAAGAAGTATGATTCAATGTGAGAAAAGTAGACAATTGGGTTTTAGGTCATTTTGTTGTGTGTACAGAAATAATACAAACAATTGTTTGTTTTGATTCAATGTATGATCACTTTTACTTACTTGAGAAAGAGGACTTTGAGCAGCTAACAAACGTTCAGCAGCTGAACCATGACGTTCACCTTTACTGTCTTTTTTGAATGCATATGATATGGTAATAGCACGATTGCATAAATATTGTCCATTCATTGCTTCGATAGCAGCATCACTAGCTTCAAAACTTGCAAAATTTATAAATGCATATCCTTTAGAATTTCCTGTCTCAGGATCACGCATAATTTTTGGAGTTTGAAGTATAACACCAAATGCACTGAAAGTATCATAAAGAAGTTTTTCATCTACTTCAGGATCTAAATTACCAATGAAAATATTGGCACCTATGTCAAGATTTTTTTGATTTGCTGATGCTTTATTTACACGAATAGGTTTTCCATATAATTTAATCATGTTCATTATACGCATAGCATAGTCAGCATCTTCTTCTGTCATAAACTCTACAAATCCATAACTAAAATAAATAATACGGAAACATAGAAGTGCTAAGCAATGTAAATTGTACAAAATATTGAAAATATTTGATAGACAGCTTTCATTAATAAGAAGTCAACAAGATCTTATAAAATAAGTGAACATATGAGCATAACTTCAAATATGAGGGTGAATGATACTATCCGGTAACCGAAAATAAAAAATAAAAAAACCGAAGATAGATTTGATGAAGTAGTTTGTATCATATAAACGGCATTTTCATGGAGTACATATTAGTTAGGCACAACTTAATTGTCTTGAGACTTTGATGAACCACATGTACTTTTCACCTTCACAGAATTTACATTGCAATATGAATACAATTCTATTGCCGGCACACACCACTAGTATATTCAGTGGTCAATAATACCCATGTCCAGGATTGCGAATCCAAATGGATGCAATTGCACCATAGCAAATGGTTTTGAGCCATGTCGATCAAGGTCTCTAACCGTCGGTTACTATCATTTTGCGGGCCCCATTCAGGTAATCTATAGCTCAATCTGGTAGTCAGTGACTTCATGGATTTGTGCCATGTTTTCGTCTGGCCGTCAAGAGCTTTCTTCCAACCTATCCTTACACGAGCGATGACAGTTATATGATGGCACAGAAATTACTTCACAAAAAGACAGTAATCATTGATACGATTTATTCATCTCAATTTTATCTTACACGTAACAGTGATGGGGAATATTAGGTTTATAAAGGACAATTTATTTGTCGGAAAAGTGAAAAGCAAACAATTCCAAAACCAAACAGAATCTTTTAAATAATTGAACCAAGCCAGGCACTATTGCTGTTTTTGTTTGAGCTTATCAAGAAATTACAAGATTTATAATCAATTATAGTAGCGGAATGGATAGTCGATGTAAAATTAGGCAGAAAATAACTGTCAAAAACATACCCCTGATGCTGCATGTTTATTCGGTCTTTAGGCATATGAACATTTACAACTGGACCTGCCTGAAGAAAAAGCTCCCAAAGGATAGATTCATTAACTTTTTCATCCAATCCACCAACATATATCGTGGCATCTTGATTGCGCTCTTCCATAACCCCAATCGTCATTTTTAATCAAAAAGTGTTAATTGAGAGCTGTCAGTTTATCACTTGCAAGTAATAGAAATAAAGTTATTAACCCACTGTCTACAGTATTTATAATTAAGAGACAACACGTTGATGTAGATAACGATTTGACTACAGCGTTGAACAGTGTTTGTACAATGTTCAATACCGTCTTCACGAAGTAGAACAAAGCAAATGATTTCTTTACACTCGATTCTTGTTCTTTTTGTACGGTTCAAGGTATTAAAAATTCTCCAGTGGATGTTAGTTTAGTCACTCGACTACGCTGATACGAGACAGCTGACTGATGTCAGTAAATTTGCATGTTAGGTGATTTGAGTTAATAACTTTGTTTCATGGAAGTAGGACTTCTGACTTTCAAAATGTATGACATGTACACCACCGGCATTTCCCTCAGCTGGAAGCTGGTTTTCCCTCTACCATAGTTGCAAGTTGCCGGTGGAATCTGACCAACGGGTCCTAAGTATCTTGCATAGACAACTAATAATAAATACCTGTATCTTTCGGATGATGACCCTCGTGGTTCTCCGAATTTCCGCCCTATACAGCAGAACTGCCTTGACATTTGTATTGAAAATTCTGACTTTGGTGTTAGTTGATTGTTGTCCTGAGTTCCAGATTCTCGCTGGTCGCAGAAGTACTGCACTAGCTTTGCCAATTCGGGCCTTCATATCTACATCAGATTCACCTTGTTTATCAATGATGCTGCCCAGACATGTAAAGGTTTACTCATCCTCCAAAGCTTCTCCTTCAAGTGAGATTTGGTTGGTGCGTGCTGTGTTGCATCGGAGTTTGTTGTTATTTCCCTTGTGTGCTTTGAGTCCTACTGCTGTAGAGGTTGTTGTGATACTAATTGTTTTCAACCTTATTTTTGTTGTTTGTGGGATGAATGAACTGGATCATCTGCGAAGTCCAGATCGTCCAGCTGCATCCTAGTTATCCACTGAATCCCGTGTGTCCCCCTCAGATATTGTCGTCTTCTTCATCCAATCGACCACCAAGACAAAGAGAAGTGGTGAGTGTAAGCAACCTTGTCTGACACTGGTTTTAACCTCGAACGAGTTTGTCAGTTGACATCTATGCACGATTTTGCAGAGTAATCCATCATAAGAATTCCGTATGATGTTGACTTTCTTCTCAGGCACACACTGTTGAAGACTTTTGCTGGTATTGAGATAACAGTGATGCCTCAGTGGTTTTTACAAATCCTCTTTGTTTCCATCTGTTACAGCTCTTTCCTTTTTCAATGTCAGATAATTCACATATTTTCGCTTATTAACTCTAGCATTCCTTTCAAACCGCTTATTTTCTTCTGTGTATTCGGTTTGTACATTGAGTTTACTTGCTATTGTACGGTTGTGATTGTTTCTGTCTTCCTGTTCTTCCTGTTTTTGAATCTGGTTCGGAGTATCCATAAAGATCCATTCATGGTGATAGTGGCCTTTTGACCAGGAGCTTCATCGCGTACTGAAGTTATCGATTGCTTCACCCCTTTCCAGTTGTTCTCTGTGGTATATTCCTCTCCACTGAGTAGATCGCGAAAGTCTTGGTACTTGTAGCTCAGAGCTGCTCTGGATTCGTTGGGTTTGTCAGTATCTCAAAGAGTGGTCGTATCAAACTTCTTTGTTGCTGTTCTCCCAGTTTTCCAGTGCTCTTTTGGACTCCGCTTCATCCTGGCCACTACCAAATCATCTGAAGCTGTGTTATCTCCTCTCTTTGTTCTTACGTCCTCCATGAAACTTCCGAACTTCTTATTGAATCAAATATGGTTAGTTTAGAGCTGAGTAGTATGGTTAGGTGAAACCCACGTAGCTTTGTGTATTCGCGTGTATGGAAATATGGTCTCGTCTATGAGCAGTTTATTAAAGGCATATAGGTTTGCGGATCTCTCACCGTCTTGTTTCCTTTCTCTCAGTCCTTATCGTCCAATCATATCTTGATATTCAATTTGTCTATGATCCACTTCTACTTTGACTCGGAAACTACTTTGTGAACGGAAAGCTTCGTACCAAAGTAAATAGAGAGGACGCTAGCTGGGTAGTCTCAACATCAGGAGTTTCACTAGGGATCGTTTTGATTTCAATCGTCTTCTTGATATTGATCAATGACCTGTTAAAAAATAGTTGTGACACTAGTCCACGCAGACAACGCAAAGATCTGGAGGTCGATAAGGAGCGAAGAGGATTCAAATGAGTTTCATTAGGACCTTACAATAAAAGAAAAATGGGCATTGGACAATGGGTTAAAAATTAACCAGTCAAAATTTCACGCCACAGACATTTTTCCACACGCAACACGAACAACTCACATCATCAATGGAAGTCCGTTTCTTAATGTCTTCTCTTAGGGCGATCTCAGTATAATAACCACTGAAAGCCTAAATACCGCCTGAAACTACACATGGATAACGCAACTCTTTACTCTATGAGGAGACAACTTGGAGCATTCACCCCAAAATTGCCGTCAATTCTTCTTAAAATAAATGCACAGTCATATTGACGTTCACAATGTCATCACACCCCCTCTCCTTAAAACAGATATAAATTTCCTGGATAATAAGCACATCAAACCATCTCAACATGAAAATCCGGCCTAAAACTTTACTATCACGACACTTAAGGTAACCTCACAAAATTACACATAAAAAGAGTGAACACCCAGATTGCTGCACACTTGTTTGTATTAAGAATTGTCGCTAATAAGAATTCTTTCTGGTGACCACAGCCCCCTCAGTGGACAATTTTAAGAGGAGACTTGATGAACATGTACTCACATACGAATTATCATCTTCATCTTGGACCAGGTGTACCTGACTAGCTTACTTACTTACTTAAGCCTGTTACCCTAAATGGAGCATAGGCTGCCCACCAGTTTACTCCAAACAACTCTGTCCTGTTGTTGATCGCGTCTGGCCAACGAATCCGAAGTATTTTGCGTAGACAACTGTTAATAAATACTTGTATCTTATGGATAATGGCTTTCTTAGTTCTCCAGGTTTCCACTCCATACAGTAGTACTATGTTGACGTTTGTATTGAAAATCCTGATTTTGTTTTTGGTTGAAAGTTGTTTGGAGTTTCAATTGTAGAAATGCAGCCCTTGATTTGCCGATCCGTGCCCTCACATCTGCATCGGATCCACCTTGATTGTCGACGATACTGCCCAGATATGTTAAGGTGTTAACGTCCTCCAAGGCATCTCCATCAAGCGTGATTTGGTTGGTGCATATTGTGTTGTATCGTAGAATCTTACTTTTACCTTTATGTATGTTGAGACCTACTGCTGCAGAGGCTGCTGCTACACTGGTCGTCTTCTCTTGCATTTGTTGTTGCGTGTGCGATATAAGAGCCAGGTCATCTGCGAAGTCCAGATCGTCCAGCTGCGTCCTAACTGTCCAGTTGATACCGTGCTTCCCTCCAGATGTTGACGTTTTCATAATCCAGTCGATCACCAGGAGAAAGAGAAAGGGTGAGAGTAAGCAACCTTGCCTGACACCGGTCTTCACCTCAAAAGAGTCTGTTAGCTGTCCTCCGTGTACGATTTTGTAGTTAAATCCATCATAAGAGTTAAGTATAGTGTTAACTATTTTCTCAGGCACCGCGTAGTGTCGAAGAAGCCTCCACGGTGTTTTCCAATCGACGCTTTCTCGTAGTCGATGAAGTTGATGTAGAGTGGTGAGTTCCATTCAATTGATTGTTCCACAATGATCCACAATGTTGCAATTTGGTCAGTACACGATCGATCCTTACGAAATCCGGCCTGTTGATCTCGAAGTTGGGCGTCTACGAAGTCCTTCATTCTATTGAACAATACCCTGTTGAAGACTTTGCCTGGTATTGAAAGAAGAGTGATGCCTCTGTAGTTCTCACACTTGCTGAGATCGCCTTTCTTTGGTGTTTTGATCAGGTATGCTTCTTTCCAATCTGATGGTACTTGTTCCTCATCCCAAATCTTCTTGAAGAGGATGTGAAATGTTTTCACAGTTGCTTCCACATCTGCTTTCGTTGCCTCTGCTGGATTGTTGTCAGGTCCTGCTGCTTTGCCGCCCTTGATTTGTCTGATGGCATACACCTGACTAGCTAATCGTTATTATTGCCATCTCCTCAGATCACTATTTTTATCCGTCTCACCTGTTATATCTATTTCATCTGCCATGTTTGCACTTTGCTCCTCTCGCACAATCTTCACTAACAATTGATAAACGGAATTATCTATTATTTACTTAGTCCAGAAATCTTACTCTTAATAGCACTAAAATTTTGTGTTTATTATTCTTTGTATTGCAAATAACTGATCTCCTGTCTGGATATGTGGTGGCTGCTGTTAGGCAGAAACTCTAATGCCCTGAAATCAAAGTATTCATTCAAAGCGCGTAACATACAAACTCACAAACAACTGCCTACTGATTAGAATTAATGCAGTCGAGTGGCTGGACAGATATCTAGATTTAAACACCTGGAGCCGTACCGAAAGATCAAGAATCGAGTGCATAGAAATCAAATGATTTAACGAATCTCTGAAAAATATATTGGATATTGGATCGACTTTGGTTGGTATGACATCTGTTGTCTGCGCATTTCGACTTGATGGAATCGTCAGGACAAACTCAAAATGGTGAAGAAAACCTTAATTCTTATGTTACAAAACCACGATTCGATCAGAAATTTCGACCTTGGGCAGTGAAGAGCATCATTTCTCGGCTTTTAAGAGAACAGCTAGAAGGGGAAGTATACTCCCCTGAAAATACACATGGTATGAAATAAATTTTTTATAATTGTCTACAGAAAAGTGCATTTCGTTAGCGGATGAAATTAAACTCACGCTGAAGAAAAGTCTATCGTTACAACGTTATAAATATTTGGTACAAGTCATCATCGGTGAACAGAAAGGGCAAGGAGTGAAAGTGGCTCGTCGCTGCTATTGGGATTCTGATACTGACCACTATGCAGAGGCTTCATTTGTCAATGACTCTCTTTTCTGTGTTGCTTTTGCACTCGGTGTTTATTGCTATTAATTTTATCAATATTCACACCCATAAAGTGTTTGTAAATATTTTAATTTTCAGTAAGGTAATACTGATTGAAAATTGTGGTAAACTCACATGTGGGTGAAAATAATATTTGTATATATGATGTTCAATTCATTTTTTCGTTGTATGCGTTTTCAAAATAAAAGCATAAAGTAAATATCAATGCGGAAACAAATTTACAAACACTACCAATCATGTCTACAATGTTACGATCAGATCATTTGCCTTTGAGCACTATTGAAAATGTTTGTTATGTTTAGGTTGTAAAGTTTTAAATCAATTCAGCTTTAGCACCAAGAAAAATATACTTAATTCACGTTGTTATTTATTGTAAGTTGTTGATAGTTCCCTGATTCATAATAATAAATTAAAACTACTGTTTTTTTTAAAGTACCACTACCAAGCACTAACCTACTGACGCTGAATAAATTGACCATTGTTTCGAGAGTCGAGTCTCTGATATAGTAGTAGTATTGCTAGTATTATTATATATGAAGTATAAAAAACTTTGGTTGGAGAATAAAAAGGAATAGGCTGTATATCCGCGTTAGATATATTTTAAACCAATAATCCAAGGGGGGATACAGAATGTTTGCACTCGCGCCACTATGACCGCTTGTAAACTCATGTCACCGTAAGTCCCCAACTTAGTTACGATCATTTTACGAGCTTTAACCAGGCAAACTGTACCTGTCAACACGACTGAGCCAGTGACCTCAACAACTGGTACCACATTTTGGATTAGCTATCTCTAGCTTTATATGACCGTGCCATCACAGAAAAAGGCATCATCTATCGAGTAAAGTGGTAGCTGAACACATGTCCAACATATTCTAACCTCCTCCATGGATGACGACTCACAACTTCAGTAGGTGATTCCCCATATTCAACTAATACCCTGTGTCTTTAACATTCCTCGCTTAGTATTTCCATGGTTGATTGGTACTGCCTCAAACTATGCATACTTTCTGCTTTGATAAGTCATCCTTCACAACTGTTAACTAGAACAGAACAAAATTTTGCGAATCGCACTCGCTTTTGGTCGACAGAAGGAAATAACGCCCACAACAAAAGTGGTGCCGTTTAATGGAAGCCAAATGAGGTTTCTGAATCCGTTCCGAGATTTTTTCGTAAACGAATCCATCAAAGATGGAAAAATTTTCAACGGATCAAATATTCTACTCTCTGTCATTAATTTAGGCGTTAACGCACTCACAAAAGACATATGTTATTTCATCTGCTCATACATATTTTCACCATCAATAGATAAAAATGTGGCGATTAGAGATGAAGCAGAAAAAAACATTCCAGGAGGCTAAATCTAATCGAACATAGGGACAATGCTTCAGAATATCTGAACAAATGAAAATAAGGCGAACTAGAGATTGAAGTAGATTACTTTGACCACTACGATTGGTACTATTGTGCCGTTTGTCTCGACAATTCAACGTCCTAATAAGAACTACAACTATTTAAGCTGATAAACATTCTTAACAGTTCTCTTATGTTGATTGAAACTGGCCTAGAAACTTTTAGGTCGAAAAATTAGTTCTCGTGAGAAATATTCATCTGACTGCAGAGTAGGCTGTTACTTATTGACTAAAATTCCATATATGAATTGCGTCTTATCAGTTTATTTTTTACGATAAAAATACAAAAAACCCAAAGGGAAGCGCTCATTCCGTAATAGTAGATATGACTTAAGGTGATATCTCATGTGGATAACCAATTCATATTAGTTTTTTCTAACCTACATGACCGGTTGGATCTGTCTTGGATAAACATTGTTCACATTTTGTATTAGCATATAATATGTTTTTACAGTAAACTTGTATTCTTTACAATCCAGTTAATATTATTCTTATCTCTGAGTATACTGAATTAATAAAAGTTCATAAATGTACAGGCTAGCAATAATAGGCTTTCAATTCACTGACATTTTGTATGTAGCTACCTCTTTTAGTTGGTGCTGATTAAAAGCTTTACTTAACTGGGGCTGGCGAGTATAGAGAGTATTATATTTTCATTATTTGTCGGTGGTGTCAACCAAACCCTCAGTAATAAATATAAAAAAAGAGTTGTACCAAAAAATGATGTGGTTATTGCGTTTTTAGCATAAGTCAGTCAGATGCAACGTCGAACTTTGTACGTAAGTACATCAGTTCATGTCGCCATACCACATCAGCACAGAGATATAATTGTCGATTCAAATCCAATAGAGTAGTAGAGGTAGTAAAGGTATTAGAAGTAATCGGAGAGGTTAGGATTAGAAGATATTATTCAAGAAATATGATTCAATGTGAAAAGTTTAGAAAGTCAAAACTAGAGGTGTTGAAGAATCCAGAAGATTAGGATTTGAGAGAACACACAAAGAATAAATGCACCGGTGCCATTGCAAACGGTTTTGAGTGATGATGTCATTCAAGGTCTCTAATCATCGATTATTATCATCTCGTGGATCCCAATCAGGTAGTCGACAATTACCGACATGGCTAAGTCCACTTGTCAATGACTTCATGGATTTATGCCATGTTTTGGTTTGGCCGCCCCTAGCTTTCTTCCAACCTATTCCTACACTACAAAACAAAGCTCGACGAGGCAGTCGGTGGTTGGGCATACGCAACACATGTCCCAACCACCTCAACTGATGAAGTTTCACCACTTCATCTATTGATCTGCCATTCTTACCTAGCACTCGTTTCCTAATAACAGCGTTGCTCACTCAGGTGTTCCACGATATACAAGCAATGCTTCGAAGATATCTATGATCGAAAACCAGTAACCTACGAATATCTTCTACTCTCATTGGCCATGTTTCACAGCCATAAAGTAAGACGGAGCGAACCGCTGCACAGTACACTCGTCGTTTAGTGAGCAAACGGATATCTCGCCTTCGCCATAAGTGACGCAGGTTGGCAAAAGCCAATCGAGCCTTCTGTATCCGAGCTGAGATTTCGTCAGTCACCAGGCCGTCAGCACTGATGAGGCTCCCAAGATAAGTGAAGCGGTCCCTTTTTAGCATAAACATCACTTACACAAGGAAGGATCTTACCTATTCTGTCTAACACTAAATTTCACAATGATGACCAGTGTATAAACGAAAAGAATTTTTCTTTCTTATTTATGACAATGTACACTTTACAATGTCTACTAAACAAACAGTAGCAACTGATGAAAACATTGACTTCAGATTATTTCCATTTTGCACGTATGTAGTTAGTTTATGAAACACACGATAATCTTAAAAAAAACATACTAGATAGACCACAACAAAAGTGTATTATTTTTTTTAAAAATCTATCACTATTAAAGACTGAACAGTTTTAAAAATTTTGGAGTTTTTTTATTTTTAAACAAGAAAATGATTGATATTGAGGCACAGTTTTGGAGGTTTGCGATTTGTTTACACATTTGAAATCATCAATCAATCATTAGTGTTAGACCACCATTAGAAACCTGGAAGCACTGGACGGCCGTTTCGTCCTGGTATGGGACTCATCAGCAGTGCACATCCAGGACTCCTGCTCCTCGCAGGATTCGAACCCGGGACCTTTGGCATTGTGGGCGAACGCCTTACCATCGGACCACTGGGCCTGCATCCAACGGGTTCGAATCCTGCGAGGAGCAGGAGTCGTGGATGTGCACTGCCACTGATGAGTCCCATACCAGGACGAAACGGCCGTCCAGTGCTTCCAGGTTTCTAATGGTGGTCTAACACTAATGATTGATTGATGATTTCAAATGTGTAAAAAAGATTGATATTGACACGATTTACTGAGCATCATCTATAAAAAGTCACATCAAGCAACTGCATGTGCATGAATGCACAAACACTATGGATTCATAATTTTACAAAATATCCCAAGTCAAAAAAAAACCTTCTTACATTACACTACCACCACGTAACGACAATGACTAAATTTATTTATAGAAAGACAAGTAGAAGAAGTAGAACTTTCAAAATTCAATATTTCAAAATTTTATTTTTTATTCAAGTGAAAATTTCATATTATTATCATTATTATTATTACATAAATAAATGCACTATGGATTTTTAATACAAACAGATTTTTTTATTTTTTTCATAATAAAAAAAAAACGGGAACGAGGGAAAAGAAAAATTCAAATCAGTAAAAATACAAAATAATAATAATCATAATCATAGTCATAATAATTAAACTGTAAATTTCTTTATTCATTGAACAAAAACATAGAGAGTCAGAGAGAGAGAGGAAGAGAGAAATAAAAGCACCAGGTAGTAGTAGTAGTGGCACATATCAAGCTAGTTCGTTTGTTTTGGTTTTCTGGAAAAGTACGATGCATGCATGCAATGAAATCCAACGCAACGCAATGAAATGAAATCATAAGGCAAAAATAAATGACAAATAATAATCCTTGAAAATGAAACGAAAACAAGAAATTATCATGAACAATTAATTAACAAGCATTGTATTTATATCAATGATGATGAATGATTGTATTGTCTTATGTAGTATGTAGCGCAGCGCTTACAGACAGACAGACAGAAAGAGCGAGCGAGCGAGAGAGTGAGAGAGGACAAAGACAATAAGAAATAAAAAAAATTGAGATCTAAGAACTAAGTAAGTAAGTAAGTAAGTAAGTAAGTAAGTAAGTAAGTAAGTAAGTAAGTAAGTAAGTAAGTAAGTAAGTAAGTAAGTAAGTAAGTAAGTAAGTAAGCGCAAGTGATTTATTGCCTATGACCGAGAAAAAAAAATTAGAGAAAAAAAAAGAAAGGAAATTTTCTCATTCTAACAAAAAATATACATACATACATACAATCATCATTGATTGATTGCATTGAATTGCACCAAGATGTCATGGGTGTACAATAAAAAAATGCATTTGGTTTAATGCAGTGTATTCATCACTACAAAGTAAATAAGTAAGTTAGTAAGTAATTAAGTAGGTAATTAAGTAGTATAATTTCAAACATAAAATTTTTTTTTTGACTAAGATGATAAAAAAAAGAGAAAAGAAAAGAAAAGGCTAAGTGGTTGCACTTAACACAGCTCGCATAGCTAATGTTTGTAATTGACAAATTGCAACATAATTTGATGGTAGATCAGTAGTATCCACTTCATCATGAATTATTACATCGTCACAGTGTGCGGCGTTATTACTATTATTATGATTATTATGATTATTATGACTGGTAGATACAATATGTCCAGTGAAATGATTTAAACAACCAGATCCTCCGATTAAATGTGAATGTAAACTATCTGTAAGTGTACCATAAATACGTGATGTATAATTGTCAGTAAGATTAGTTTGATTGTAATAATCAGTACTACTACTACTACTAGTATTAGCACTAATAGTAGTATTGACAACATTGTAACATTGTTGATTACGACTAGAACCAATTAACGCATTATTGTCCATATCATGAATAGTAATAATACTATTGTTATTCTTTCTATGCATAGTATTCATATCAGAAGAACAACACTGTTGTTCATTTCTCTGGTGATTTGTTGTTATTTCTGAAGAGATTAGACCAAAATCTAATGTTGCATAATGTAATATATTTGTAGGTTTTTCAATATACTGATGATGATGATGATGATGATGATATCCTAAGCTATTTGTTCTACATGGAATAATGGTAGTTGGAGATTTTGTTAAAGAAGAGGTAGTAGCAGTAGTAGTAGGTGTAGGTGTAGGCGTAGGCGTAGTAGAAGTAGTAATAGTAGTCGTGGTAATAATATTTGTGCTTATTGCTGTCATAGACAATGATACAAAAGATGATGACGATGATGATGAGGGTTGAATAGGTGATTCTTTTAAATATACATTACGACATGATGTACAATTTATCTCATCGCCTAAAGTAGCATGATGATGATGCTGATGATGAGGCGTAGATAAACTGTTATTGGATGTGGAAGCAGCAGTAGGCAAACATAAAACACTAGATGAATGAATATAATCTGGATTAGTTGCTTTAGGTAATGATGATGAAGCGATTGTTTGAGAAGTACACAGACCAGTATGTTGGAGTTGAGTTAAAGTCTGGAGGGGGGGGGTGAGAAATAAAGAGGAGAAAAAAAACTTTTACTAAAGAATCAATAAAAATTGCAAAATATCATTAGTTATTTTTATGAGTTACTTACTGACTTAAGCCTGTTAACCCTTAATGGAGCATTGACCGCCGCCCATCAGTTTTCACCAACCTACTCTGTTCTGGGCTTCCCTTTCTAGTTCTGTCCAGTTTTTTGTTCATTCTTCTTATGTATTTCTCTATTTCTCGGGGTAATGTGTTTCTTGGCCTACCTCTTTTGTTCTTGCCTTGAGGGTTCCAAGTGAGGACTTGTCTTGTGACGCAGTTGGGTGCTTTTCGTAGTGTGTATCCTATCCACTTCCACCACTTCTTCCTGAGTTCCTCCTAAATTCGAATCTGGTTTAATTTCTCCCACAGTAAGTTGTTGCTGATAGTGTCTCGCCAACGAATGCGAAGTATATTTTGCGTAGACAACTGTTAATAAACACTTGTATCTTGTGGATGATGGCTTTGGTAGTTCTCCAAGTTTCCGCTCCATATAGTAGAACTGTCTTGACATTTGTATTGAAAATCCTGATTTTGGTGTTAATTGATATTTGTTTGGAGTTCCAGATATTTTTCAGTTGTAGAAATGCTTTACTTGCTTTGCTGATCTGCGCCCTCACATCTGCATCGGATCCACCTTGATTGTCGATGATGCTGCCAAGATATGTTAAGGTGTCAACGTCCTCCAAAGAACCTCCATCAAGCGTGATTTGGTTGACGCATGTTGTGTTGTATCGTAGAATCTTACTTTTCACTTTATGTATGTTGAGACCTACTGCTGCTGCACTGGTTGTCTTCTCTTGCATTTGTTGTTGCGTGTGCGATAGAAGAGAGTTATTTATGAGTTAAACTAAAATAAGATATAACTCATTAGCATAGTAAAGACCCATGTGCATAACTATAATTCACAATGTTTGTATCAAAGCTAGTGATTCAAGTTATCAGACATGGTGACAGCAAACAAAATGGAGGTAATGAAAGTCACCTTCAAAACTAAGTTTAAAACACACGTTTATCGATACTAAAACAAAGTTCTTAGATAAAGAATCAACTCAAAAACTGCTTAGAAGAAAGCTTAAAAGCTTGTTCGGGAAGAGCGATGATCAATTTCTTTGTTTATTTTTAGGTACTACCTATTTAATTCAGACATTTTTCACTTCACAAAGTTATTTACTACATTTGATTTGGTTTGATTCTCCTATCGTGTTGTCGCTTTAACCCCTTTTCGTGGTTTTAAAATGGGGACCAGAGCACTGTGACCTGATTTGTAATGGACTTTTATTTGCTATGCTGTCTATTTATCTACTTGTCTGGGAATACGGAGGACAGATGACAAACTCGTTCGAAGTAAAGACCAGTGTCAAACAAGGTTGTTTAGTCTCGCCTTTTCTCTTACTCCTGGTGATCGACTGGATTATGAAGACGTCAAAATCTAGAGGGAAGCATGGGTTACAGTGGACAACTAGGACACAGCTGGACGATCTGAAGTTCGCAGATGATCTCACACGCAACAACAAATGCAAGAGAAGACGACCAGTGTAGCAGCAGCAGGTCTCAACATACATAAAGGTAAAAGCAAGATTCTCCAATACAGCACAACATGCACCAACAAATCACTCTTGATGGAGATGCCTTGGAGGACATTAACACCTTTACAAATCTGGGTAGCATCATTGACAATCAAGGTGGATCGGATGCAGATGTGAGGGCGCGGATTGGCAAAGCAAGGGCTGCATTCCTACAATCGAACAATATCTGGAACTCAAAACAACTATCAACAAACACCAAAGTCAGAATTTTCAATACAAACGTCAACAGAGTTCTGCTATATCGGGTGGAAACTTGGAGAACTACGAAAGCCATCATCCAGAAGATACAAGTATTTATTAACAATTGTCTACACAAAACACCGGATGAGTTGACGAGACGCCATTAGCAACAACTTACTGTGAGAGAGAACAAACCAGATTCCAATGTAGGAGGAACTCGGGAAGAAGCAGTGGAAGTGGATAGGACACACACTGCGAAAAGCACTGAACTGTGTCACAAAACAAGCCCTCACATGGAACCCTCAAGGCAAAAAGAAAAGAGGAAGGCCAAAGAACACATTACCCCGAGAAATAGAGAAAGACATGAGAAGAATAAACAAAAATTGGACAGAACTGAAAAGGGAAGCCCAGGACAGGGTAGGTTGGTGAAAACTGATGGGCGGCGGCCTATGCTCCATTGAAGGTAACAGGAGTAAGTAAATCGAAACATTTAAAAACTAAATTTAGCATAGAATTGAAATAAACTTACTTGAGTATTTGTTGACAAATTATAATACGGCGAATGTTCCGTAATCATATCAAGCATATCAGCATTATTTTTTCTATCTGATGAATGACTACTCAAATTCCGTTGTATTTTACATAAACAGCAATCAGATGACATTGTTTTAGTTTTCTTATTGTATAATACTCCAACTGTGCGATTTTCTTCTTCTCTACTAGAATGATGTTCAGCATCCATCACCTTGATGACATGAGTATTATTATGATTATTATCAATGTTCAATTCATGCTGACCAGTAATAATAATCCCATCATCATTATCACCATGGTTAAGATTTTGTGTATTTGGATTAGGTAAACTAGCATGCCTTGAATGTAAATACATTTTCGATGATGATGATGATGATGATGTCGAGATTGATGACAATCTTGGAAGAATTAATGTTTGCGATTTATTTTTACATTTTCTTATGATTATTTCTGTATCATGTTGTTTTAGGCTACCAGTATTATTTTTATCATTATTGTCAGTACTACTATCAGTAGTAGTAATACTAGTAGTATTGTTTGATATAGTCCCATTAGGAGGATTATCAATCATTTCTAGTAAATTTATATCGGATGATAATGATTTTTTTAATACAACAGGTGAATTAGTACAAGTAGTAATTGATGTCAATTGTTCTCCATCATCATTGAATAATGATGTTGTATTGGTACCTTCAGCTGATACTACTACGACATTTGTCATTGTATCGATAATTTCTGTTACACTATGACTATTTGTAGTAGTGGAACAAACAAGTGTCGGTGTTGTTGCAGTGGTTGTTGGAGTGGTTGGTGTTAATGAACGATTACTACTACTACTACTATTACAACAACAATTCTCACCAGCCTCCTCATCATCATTATTATTATTCATCATATCATTGATTTCATGATTGACAGTAATTAAATTGTCATAAATTCGTTGATAATATTGATTTTTTCCTTGAATTATTATATCAAAATATGATAAATTATTATTGCATAGTGGCGGTGGTAATGGCGCTTCAGGTAGATTAGATATTTCATCGACTTCATCGATTTTCACCGTACACTCATCTTTCACATTAACATCCTGATGATCATCATTTGTGTGTTTATCGGCGGCACAATGTGAATTGTGAGGATTGGATCGTTGATGCTGATGATGATGATGAACAGAGAAATGACTAGCACCGCCAGCTCCACCGCCACTGCCACCCGCGGCACCCGCACCATTATGCTGACTACATCCACCTTCATTGACACAATGACACTGACTTACAACATTTGTAGCACTGTCATTCCAACTGATTGAATTCATTGATGGAATATTATTTAATTGTGGACATGAATATTTGAAATGATGTTGTAGTTTATTAATAGGATTTTGATCATGATGATGATTTTCATTACTGTCATAATGATTAGTTGATGTATTCTGCAGTTGGAGCCAATGTAAACAATTCGATGTGGCTTGATTGTGATGATGATGTTGATGTTGTTGTTGAATTGATAATTTTGTGTTAGGCTTGTCAAGATCAATATCTGTGGTATCATCAAATGAAAAGGCTAAATTGTTACGTTCTGATAGAACTGGTAAAAAATGCTGTCGACTATGGGGATGATGGGGATGCGGATGATGAGGAATTGTGTTTTTATGATGATGATGATGAAATTGTTCATTCAATGTAGTTCGATCCATTTTTTTCTCATTGATTGAATCCAATAAGATAGGTGTAGTAGTAGTAATGAGGGAGAGTGATGATGATTGCTTGTGGAATATTTTATACAATGGCATAAATAATGATAATTTGCCATGATTATTGCGTAATAATGAACGATTTTCAGAAGTTACATTGGATAAATGATGAACGGATAGATTGTCACGACGTTGATGAACACATATCTGTTGATTAAAGTATGAATCAACATAGAAATTATAGTACATTACATTACATAGACAGATAGATACAATGCAGAACTTTGTACGTAAAAGTATGTAGTGTGCCGATTTCGGAGGTGTTCTTAAGTTTCGTAATTAGCTCGTTCAGACAAACGTTACTAGATGGCGTCTGACGGTTAATAAATCAGAAGATAAACTCGATGTGTTGAATGCGTTTATTGTACTTACTTACTTACTTACTTACACCTGTTAGCCCCAATGGAGCATAGGCCGACTACCAGTTTTCTCCAACCTACTCTGTCCTGGGCTTCCTTCTCCAGTTCTGTCCAATGTTTGTTCATTCCTCTCATATCTTTCTCTATTTTTCGGCGTTCCTTGGCCTTCCTCTTTTCCTTTTGCCTTGAGGGTTCCATGTGAGGGCTTGTCTTGTGACGCAGTTATGTGCTTTTCGTAGTGTGTGTCCTATCCACTTCCACCGCTTCTTCCTCATTTCCTCCTCCACTGGAATCTGGTTTGTTCTCTCCCACAGTAGGTTGTTGCTGATGGTGTCTGGCCAACGAATCCGAAGTATTTTGCGAAGGCAACTTTTCATAAATACTTGTATCTTCTGGATGATGACTTTCGTAGTTCTCCAAGTTTCCGCTCCATACAGTAGAACTGTCTTGACATTTATATTGAAAATCCTGATTTTGGTTTTGGTTGAAAGTTGTTTGGAGTTCCAGATATTTTTTAAACGTTTATTGTGGCACACCACAAAAAAGGATAGCAGACCACAAGCAAATCGAGCAGACACACCAGCGAGTGAATGTGCGAATGAATTAATAAGATAAAAATGTTTGTATATATATACAAAGGAAGATATCTGAGTTATCGTGATACTTAAGAGATTAATATTAAAGCGAGTAGGATGAATATGTGCACAGATGTACACAATGTTCAGTCATACCAATTCATACAAACTACACAATAATACCCGACCGAAGCTGCTACCTTGACGTGGTGGTCGGGCTTGCCTATCGTGATGACCCAACCGAGCTATACTGGCTGGAACATATGTTCCTGCAGGTCCTACCATGCCAGGCTGGTCGATTGGAGAACGATGAGACTAAAAGCAGCTACCCAAGGTCTGAGGGCGAAGTCGTACTGCTGACTGCAGAGGGGTGTGACAGCAGTAAGGTGTTTCCCTCGGACAACCAGCATCTGCAGCGATGCTGCCTTCTCACAAGGAAGGAAGGGTTAGAAAAGGTCGGCCCTAAAAATGTCACACTCCCCCTAACTCACGGATTTCCGTCTCCTTGGGTAAGGGTGCCCACTAAGGGCCTTTAAGAACGGAGCTAATCCTCAAAATACCTTTCATAAAAAGGCCGTGCGTGACCGGCCTCAAGCAGTTGTCCCTTGGGCTCTGCGGTCACGCACCAACACTAATCCATCTTCCTTTTCAGGTCCCTCAAGAAACAACCTTCCACTGTGTGGGCAGCCGGGAAGTGACAACCGCCCTCATACCCATAACAGCACGCGAGACCGAATTGGTCAAAATCAAATCCTTCCTACACCCCCTAATGTCTCTTTTATCTCTACAACTAACTCTACTCACACTCCCTTTTCTCACTGCACCGCTAATGCAGACGAAGCGAGATCACGAAACGTCGTTCCTGGTCTCTTGAAACCCCGTTCTAGACTACATATTGGAGCTTTTAATGTACGGACATTGTGTCAAATAGGGCAACAGGCATCATTAGCTAGGACTTTAGAAACTCGTGCCATCGATGTATGCTGCGTCTCGGAAACGCGCATACAGGATCCTAGTAAAGTCATTAACCTGACTCCACCTTGTCAAAACGAAGAAGCAGCTCGATTTACTCTTCGGGTATCCGGTAGCCCTGATGCTGCTTCCAGGGGTCTTGCTGGTGTAGGCATAGCGTTGAGTCCTAGGGCAGAATTATCTCTCCTAGACTGGATCCCAGTAGATAGTCGTTTGTGCGCTGTCCGACTAAACGGGACAGTAAGGACTCGTAAGGATAGGGACACTCGCCGTTGCCTCTTCGTCATATCTGCCTATGCCCCCACTGACTGCAGTGCAGACGAGGTTAAGGATGAGTTTTACAGAAAGCTTTCGGACCTCCTCCAAAAAGCTAAGCGCTCTGACATAGTAATAATGGCTGGTGACTTTAATGCTCAAGTAGGTAGACTAGGTGAAAAGGAAAGACATCTTGGTGGATGTTATGGTGTAGCGACTGAGAGAACAGACAATGGTGACCGTCTGTTGCAACTGTGCTCAGATAACCGCCTATTCTTAGCGAACACCAACTTTAGGCATAAGGAAAAGCATCTGTTGACCTGGCGACCTCCAAAGTCGTCTCAACGTTGGACTCAACTAGATCACATCGCCATCAGCCACCGATGGAGGGGTTCGATAGAAGACTGTCGCTCGTTCTGGAGCACATGTTTGGATTCAGATCATGCTCTAGTGCGAGCTCGTATCTGTTTAAGGCTTACTGGACGTAGGAAAGACACCGTAAGAAAGCCTCTTAGGGTTTTACTTAATGATAATAAAACCAAGAAAATATTTCAGGAGCAACTAGAAAGAGAGTTAAGCAACCATGCAAGCGATTCCCATCCAGAAGCAGGTTGGTATGATATCAAAAAGGCTGTGGAAACAGCAGTGATATCTGCTAGGAAGGTAAACCATGAGGCTAGGATGAAGCCGTGGATTTCAGTCGCATCCACCGAACTGATGGATGCTCGAAAACGCATCCCACCTGACTCTGAGCATGATGAAGAGCGTAGTCAGCTTAGGCGCAGACTTATAAAAAGTCTGCGTAACGACCGCGAACAGTGGTGGGTGGCGAAAGCAAAAGCGATGGAAAAGGCAGCGGCGATAGGCAACACTAGACAACTTTTCCGCCTTATCAAAGAAACCGGTATTAAGAACCCGAATGTGAGTGAGACTATCTCGGAAAAGGATGGTCTTATTATCCATTCTCAATCCAGGAGGCTGGATCGATGGGCAGAACACTTTAGGGATCAGTTCAACTGGCCACGAGCCACTCTTCAGTTACCCACGATCTCCAGTCATCCTGAATGGCAAATCGACGTAAGTCCCCCTAGTCTTTATGACGTTGAGAAAGCGTTAGGAAATCTGAAACGAGGACGAGCTGCAGGTCCTGATAGACTGACCCCTGAGATATTCAGGGATGGTGGTCCAGTTTTAGCAGCTAGATTGACTGAGATCTTAGGTAAAATCTGGGAACTGGACGTAATCCCATCCGACTGGTCTCAATCCTTGATAGTCCCAATCTATAAGAAAGGACAAAAGTCTTCTTGTGACAATCACAGAGGAATAAGTCTAACTAATATAGTATCTAAAATATTGGCCTCAATAATACTTCGACGCTTAACGAAAGCTCGTGAAGAGCAGACTCGAGAAAACCAGGCTGGTTTTCGACCTGGACGTGGCTGTATAGACCACGTCTTCACACTCAGACAGGTCCTGGAACATAGACACACATTTAGGCGTCCTACAATAGTTGTTTTCCTAGACCTTAAGGCGGCATTTGACTCTGTTGATCGTGAGGTTCTGTGGCAGTGTCTGTCATTGAAAGGTGTACCACAGAAGTACATTAACCTTATACAAGCTCTTTACTCGAACACCACTGGTCGGGTGAGGGCTTATGGCGAACTGTCACCGGAATTCTCTACATCAAGTGGTGTCCGTCAGGGATGTCCACTTTCTCCATTCTTGTTTAATTTTATCATAGACATGCTCCTAGACATAACATTATCCTCGTCTGAATTTTCAGGAGTAGACCTTCTTCCAGGTGGCTCGCTTATTGACTTAGAATATGCCGATGACATTGTCCTACTTGGTGAAGACGCTGACAAAATGCAGAGTCTTCTGACTACCCTAAGCAACAATGCAAGCATGTTCGGGATGCGGTTTTCCCCCTCGAAATGCAAAATGTTGCTTCAAGACTGGGTTGCATTGGCACCTGAACTAGTGATAGGGAGTGAAGTGGTTGAACGTGTAGACCGCTTCACTTATCTTGGGAGTCTCATCAGTGCCGATGGCCTGGTGACTGACGAAATCTCAGCTCGGATACAGAAGGCTCGATTGGCTTTTGCCAACCTGCGTCACTTATGGCGTAGGCGAGATATCCGTTTGCTGACTAAAGGACGAGTGTACTGCGCAGTAGTTCGCTCCGTCTTACTTTATGCCTGTGAAACATGGCCAGTGAGAGTAGAAGATATTCGTAGGTTACTGGTTTTCGATCATAGGTGTCTTCAAAACATTGCTCGTATATCGTGGGACACCCGAGTGAGCAACTCTGTTATTAGGAATCGGGTGCTAGGTAAGAATGGCAGATCAATAGATGAAGTGGTGAAACTTCATCAGTTGAGGTGGTTGGGACATGTGTTGCGTATGCCCAACCACCGACTGCCTCGTCGAGCTTTGTTTTGTAGTGTAGGAGTAGGTTGGAAGAAAGTTAGGGGCGGCCAAACCAAAACATGGCAGAAATCCATGAAATCATTGACGAGTGGACTGAGCCATGTCGGTAATTGTCGACTACCTGGTTGGGGTCCGCGAGATGATAATAATCGATGGTTAGAGACCTTGAATGACATGGCTCAAAATCGTTCGCAATGGCGCCAGTGCATTTATTCTCTGTGTTCTCCCAAATGCTAATCTTCTGGATTCTTCAACACCTCTAGTTTTGACTTTCTAAACTTTTCTCACTGAATCATACTTCTTGAGTAGTATCTTCTAATCCTAACCTCTCCGATTATTTCTAATTCCCTTACTACCTCTTCTACTATTGGATTTGAATTGACGATTACTTCTCTGTGCTGGTGTGGTATGGCGACATGAACTGATGTACTTATGTACAAAGTTCTATGTTGCATCTGACTGACTGACTGACACAATAATAAGAGCCAATGGTACATATAAGTTATTGTGATACAAATGACCTGGTTAAGTAAATTAACCGAAAGGCTTGATTTAA